AGAAAGAAAGAAAGAAAGAAAGAAAGAAAGAAAGAAAGAAAGAAAGAAAGAAAGAAAGAAAGAAGAGGAGGAGGCGGAGAAGAAGAAGAGGAAGAAGAGGAAGAAGAGGAAGAGGAAGGAGGAGGAGGAGAAGAAGAAGAAGAAGAAATTTGTTAATTAGGGTGCAGCTCTGTCATTTTCAGCTTAATTAAAATTAAATTAAAATCCTGTGGGATGTACATCATAAACAGAATATTGTTCATTAATTGGAAGAGTATATCTTACTCTCTTGCTTGAAATTCAACAATGGTACAATATCTTAAAAGATGACAAAAAATATTAATACAGCACAAAGGCACTAAAAAGGACAGCAATTCATTTTTGATCGATTGGTTCCAAGATTTAATAAGACTTAAGTCTTAAAAGTGTTTAAAAGATCTTTGTTACTTTATTCTAAATTAAATTTTTGGGGTGTTATGTGGAATGTTTCCAGAATGTAAATTTGATAGCTTGAACATTCCTGGTGGGCTAATCAATCACATTTTTTTTTTTTTGCTTGTTAACTGAAATAATTTTACTGCTATTTTAGTATATTGCTTTCTCAGACACACAGAAAATTCTCCACACAGACCATTAATTTTGGTGTTGATCTACACAGCGTACTTGTAAATCGATTATTGTACAACGCATTTGCATTTGCTTAGATCATCTGATTTTCCAAACTGCATTTAGCATGTTTCAAATTATTTGCTGAGTCTCGCCCTTCTGGATTTAGTCTTAATTTAAACAGTATAGTAGCTCTCTTCGTACCCTGCCTCATACTAGAAACCAGGTTTCAGCGTTTCCCAGAATCTTTTTTTTTTTTTAAATCCGGTTTTCAAGGCCATGGAAAAAAGTGTTGGGATTGATAATTTAGGGCCATCTGTTGCCCCCACAAACCAGCAGAAGGCCTTGGAGGACACCAGCTGGGTCGCTCTCCTGCCAGCTTCTCATCTCCTCCCTTAGGCATGATTTCAATAACGGAAAGAGCATTTTGAAATGATCCACAAATAAAACTCTATTTATCGTGTTATGATTGTTCAGGTGGAGTTTTTTTTGACGTAGTTTATTGTGTTATTACAAACAACAACCCAGTTCTGTCATTAAAGGCAAGGTTTGGTCCTAAGCACGTCTACTGAGACGTTAGCTAAACATACTTCAATAAAAGAACAGAGTAAGTACAGTTAAGGTTATAATAATGGATATTACATATGCACTTCCACTTTCAAGAGGCAGAAACCTAGCTAAATATGAAACCATCCAGTTTTTACTTTTTCTGTTGTTACCTTCATGTTTCTTAACAATTACCCTTTCTGCTTTGAAAAGCAATAACAATCCATTGACAGAGAGAAATGGCTGACGTGTAGTAGAAACTATCTACATGAGACTTTCTCGCTCTAGTAAAACCTGCCTCTAATCAGTTAATATAATCTTGTTGTCACAATACACTGTCCTGGAAGCCTCAGGGATGGGTTTTTCTCCCACCCCTATGGCAACCAGAGTGAACATCTCAAGAAAACAAAACTATACCGAAAACAACACGAATCTTCAGACGTGAAACCTGTAATTCACAGCACTTCTAGCCATTATAGGTGGTTGATATGGAAGAGGAAGCTGGATAGATCGCACAGAAGTGCAGAAATAAGTTTTTGCATCAACAGCATGAATTTGCAAAATATTTCTCCTATGACTGTGTTTCTCAACCTTGGCAAATTGGAGATGGATAGAAGGTGGGTAGACTTCAATTTCCAGAACTTCCCGTGCTAGCAGAGGAATTCTGGGAGTTGGAAGTCCACCTATCTACATCTTGCCAAGGTTAATAAAACGTTGTCCTATGACAAAGGTATCAAAGCCTCCAAATTGGCACCCTTTCTTATCCATGCCAGAGTTGACCCAAATATACCCACCCATATTTTTATTTTATTTATTTATTTTATTTGTCAATTGCTTACAAGATAATAGGTATAAGTAAAAACATAGTTATGGATACATGGATACATATAAGAAAAATAAAAGAAATAGGACAGGGACAGTAGGCACATTGGTGCGCTTATGCACGCCCTCACAGACCTCTTAGGAGAGGGGTGAGGTCAACAGTAGATAGTCTAAGGTTAAAGTTTTTGGGGTTTGGGGAAGAAACCACAGAGTCAGGCAGAGTATTCCAGACATGGACCACTCTGTTGCTGAAGTCGTATTTCCTGCAATCGAGTTTGGTGTAGTTTACCTTGAGTTTGTATCTATTGTGTGCTCTTGTGTTGTTATGGTTGAAGCTGAAGTAGTCATTGACAGGTAGGACATTGCAATGTGTGATTTTATATACTATACTTAGATCGGACCGAAGGCGGCGTAATTCAAGGTTGTCTAGGTCTAGAATTTCGAGTCTGGTGGCATAAGGTCTTCTGCAACGAGTAGAGGAGTGGAGATATCTGACTAAAGAATAAACAATCCAGGAAACAGGCTGCAGTCTTCCAAGGAGAAATATAGGATGGTGTCCCTCACTCAGGTTTGGTGTTAAACAAACTGCACTTATGGGGCAGGGGAGATCTTGTTGCGAATATTTCATATTTTTAACCTATTATTGTTTTACCAATGAGTTGAATCTTGGGGACGATATTCCTGTAGGCTTTTTTTGTGGGCAACAGTGGGGCATTGTCTTCCAAGGTTTTTAAAAATATGTATTTATTTCAATCATAGAGCTTGGAGGGACCTCGGAGGTCTTCTAGTCCAGCCCTCCAACTCAAGCAGAAGACCCCATACCATTTCAGAGGCTGCCCAGTCTCTTCTTAAAAACCTCCAGTGACGGAGCAACCACAACTTCTAGTGGCAGGCAGTTCCCCTGGTGAATTGTCTTCCCTGTCAGGAAGTTTCTCCTTAATTCCACGTTGCTTCTCTCCTTGATTCATTTCCATCCATTTTTTTCCTTGTCTGGCCTTCCGGTGCTTTGGA